AGGAGGAAGAGGTAGAGCTTGATCTGGGTCTATCTATTGGAGGTAGTTTTGGTAGATCCGATAAACCGATTCAACCCGTTTCAAAGCTAAACGGGTTCGAATTGAACCTGAAAGAACAGCAACACCACGCTTGGCATGGGAAACCTGAGGGTGTGGCGGTTATGTATCCACAGACGAAGCGTGAGATTCACGCCCTGCGGAGGCTGGAGGCGAGGAAGAAGCGGGAGGAGAAGCAGCAGAACAAGAGGCTCGTGAGAGAAGCCGACTCCGAACTCGACCACCAACAACTAGTATGCAAGAGGGAGAAAACGGATCGTCACGACGATGGATCCGAGTACCCGAATGTGAATCTGAATTTGAACGGCGGCGAGAAGCAGCTAGGTGTCGCGAGTCACATCGCGGTTGGCTCTGCGGCGTCGTCTCAGCACCCGTACGCGTACGTGCAGTTGAACAATGGGTACGCCTACCCTTGCGTAGTGCCATGGACGGTGAAAGAGAAAAATGCGGGTCAGCCGGCGGAGGCCTGCAAGGGTTTCCGGCCGTTTTCTGGAAACGGGTACGGGTCGGACCCGAATGGTGAAAGGGATTGTGGAGATAAGAAGGCTAAATCCGACGGGTCTTCCATGTGCAGTTCTTTGGTTTCCGATCACCAGAGTTCTTCTCATGAAGGTAATTATTTAAATATTTTATTTAGTTTTTCATGTCAATGTTCCTTTTCCCCCAGAAAAAAGTTAATATTCTTTTGTTGTGTGTGTGTGTATGAAGCCAGTATGAAGAAATTTGGATTAAACGTTAAAATGAAACAAAATAATTTCACCACGAACAACATGCGTTTTAAGCTGTCTTTGTAGGTGCTGTTTAGTTCAGGCATAATCTAATTTTTGGTGCATTGAAAAATTATTATAAGATATTTCTTTTGTGGAATTGTGCGAATTAATATTCTTATTGTTTTAACTCATTAGCTACCGTTAATATATTTCCTAGCAGTTTTAGTGTTTTCAGAACTACAAATGTTATTTTGTGTAATTTTTCTGTACCATGTACAGACTTTGAAAAATATATAAGCTTTTTTTTTTTTTAAAAGAACATAGGTTTTTTCTTATTGGAGGCAATCCTATTCGAGATTCTATCAAGTTCTAGTTTATGAGATTCAAATGTTGGTTCGTCATAATACGAGGGAATAGTTTTCTTCTGTTAGATCTAATCTAATATATAAGCTGCTTGCCTTATTGATTGATTGAATAAGCTGCTTGTTTGAATCACGTTCCCACACCCCCAAACAAACGCTTTTTTTTTTTTTTTTTTAATCACGGATGCAAAATGGGAATTGATGTAAAGGAATGGGTATTCGTGTGAAACGGGTCTCGCTACAAGAATTTTGTAGCCAAAAAAGTGTGCGTGTGGTAGATATGATCTTAATTATATTTAGCCAGGTTATGAGATTTTAATTTGAATTAATTAATGCTTCAAAAATGACTTTATCCTCAGGTACCTTTTTCATTACGAACCGAAAGTGAGATGTTTATATTAGTTTTTAAAAAGTGATTTTATGAGGTTCAAAATAAAAGGGTTATCTAGGTATAAATCAGACTATAATTTTAAAAATAATTTTATAATATATAAAATAAATATGTGAGGAATTTTATTTTGATTTAATAATAATTTTTTAAGTGGCTTTTAATATCCATTCGGCTTTTGAGTTTCAAAAGCTTTAAATCCGTCTTTAGTTCTGCTTGGATTTTTGGGGGAAAAATCTTTTGGGTCCAAACATGATATTTGGTCTCCAGCTGGTGTTTGGGCTTTTGACGAACTTTTAGAATTATAAAAACCAATACAAATACGTCCTTAAACTATTTATAAGTTTTATAAGTTTTAAATTGGAAGAGGAGGGATATAGTTCATTTTATAAGTTTCAATTTGGTGTTTGTCTTAATATTTCATCCATATTTTTTTTAATTTTACTTTTAATTATTCATTCTCCTTCTTTTGCTACAATTTCTTATCACATTTTTTCATACATTCTCTTTTTTTTCCCTCATTTATTACAAGGGCATATTTGGAAACAAAAATATATTTCTATCCTATTTGTTGCTTTTAATTAATTATTTATTATCTGCGAATTAGTTATTTTGAAGCGTATAACAAGGAACGAAGGGAGTAGTTATTTTTTCTTTGAGTATTATGTGACATAGTCTGCTTTTGAAATACTGGTTTCTTAGTGAACTATATATATAGTAATGAATATGATATATGTTAGATTTACAGCAATCGAAGTCTTATATTGGGTCTGATCATCTAATGTCAATTTGTGATCTTGTTCAGGTGGAGGCAGCAGCGATAGCCAGAGCCAATCAGTTCAGTCTTTAGCAAAACCAACCCACTTAAATAGCTCCAGTCAAAACAACAATAGAAGCCAGCAATCACCTGAACAAACTGCCTCATCTCATCACACCAATATTGTCCAACAAAACACAAACCAAACGGATCGAAAAACCAAACCCCGCAGCAAGCAACAAGATCAAGAACCCACCACAAAGAAGCCTCCACCACCCTTGTCTCATGAAAAAGACATGGTGGTGGGAAGAATCATTAAACCTCCAAGACCTCAGCCTCAGCCTCAGCCTCATCATCGCCCGACCTCACCGTCACTGCCTCCGCCACCGTCGCATTTGCTTACTAAGATGCCGTATGTTTCGACGACGGGGAACGGCCCGAACGGGAAGCGAGTGAATGGATTCTTGTACAGATACAGTAACTTGGAGGTGAGCATTGTTTGTGTCTGCCATGGAAGCACTTTCTCCCCTGCTGGGTTTGTGCAGCATGCTGGTGGCACAGACATTTCTCATCCAGAAAAGCACATTACGGTGATTCCTTCTGCATTTGGATGATGAGAACATTGGACACCAATTGATATAATCATCGTACAGGACATAAAAAATGAACATATCATGTTATTGTTTCTGGTACGAAGAAGGTCATAGACAGACACTGAATTCAATTAATGTTTAGGTCTTGGGGTTTCTTGTTTAGAGATTATTTTTGGGGCTTTTTCTTTTGGTCTCTTCTTCTTCTTCTTTGTTCTTTTTTCCCCCCAATTTTTTCGGTTTGACTGAGTAAATTGGTTTGGGTACAGGTGCTAGCGATTTCCAGAAAATGAACTGGGAAGGTTGATGGCTTCTTTTTTTTTTTTTTTTCGGGGGGCACTGGTTCATCTACTAACTGCACTAACATTTATTCTGATTATTGACTTGAAAATTTTCCTGGTTATTATATATGAGCCTAGTTTTTGTGGTGCAATTAACTCTTTATCATTCTTCTCAATTACTCTTTAATTAGTAAGATGAAGTGTGCAGGTTTTTCCCCCTAATTTTGGCTCATATAACTATAGGTATATTCGTATTCGCATTTCTATTTCTAGTGTTTTTTTTCCCTCCTAAATTTCTTGTGATTAAGAAAATTTTTAGGTATCTATATTATTTTCCAATTAAAATTTTTTTTTTTGAGTGAACCAATCAAGTTAAAAACAAGAGCCTAAAACAAAACTGATTGGCTTGATCCTTGCTGACTTTTCTAATTTGTTGAACAAAACATATACCATGCAATGCTGCAATTGACAACATTCTAGAAGACCCAATATTATAGTTAACATAATACTCTTTTGATTTATTTAACTAATTTGATTTTACTAAGAAAGTTGAATAAATTAGTTAATTATAAGAAATATGACGTGTTTTTCTTAAAATATCATAGTCGTCTTTTTTAATATTCTCCTTCCTTCTTTTACTTAATTATGATTGAAAGAATATTCGTAATAATTTAAAAAAAATTGATAAATATAAAAAATAGATTTTATATTTAGGAGGAAAATTAACTCGGTCTTATATTAAAAACTGGAGGAATATTAATCTCCCATCATTTTAAGAACATCAATAATAAATATAGCACATTGAAAAGATAATTTTGGGTATAAATAGATAAATATCATGGTCTGGGAGTATAAACCAATATTAAGGGCTACTCTTAATAACAAATCAATCATTCTATCACATTCGATTAATAACTAGTATCAGATCTTGACTATTATTTTAAGTTTTTAATATAAGAGCTAGTTGTCTAATTTGAATAGATTAAAAAATTAGTTAAATTATTTATTTGTAAAAAACATATATTATTTTTTCTAAAATACCCTTATTAATCATATATATTAGCTAAAACTATTATTAATTAGATAAAACATTTAATATGTGTAATTATTGCAAAGATTGTCTTGGGAAAAAAGATACAAAATAGACTAGAATCTTATACTCAGAATCAAATTAAATATCAAATTAGCTCTTATATTAAGTACCATGTTACTATACATATTTCATCCATTTGGCAGCACAAATAAAGGTAAAGACGTCCCTTTCTTATTCATCAACAGTAATTCAATCCAACATCGCCAGCTACCAAAAGGTTTCCATAACCGATACTCAAATTCTTGAAAAATAGAAAAATAATCATCCTCCTACAACAAATTCCTAAAAATAAGGTTGAAACCCCCCAAAAAAAAAAAATTGCAAGGCACTTCCGTGGAAGACAACTACACAAATTTTTCCCCCCTTGAATTTTGGTTAAATTAAATATATTTTTCTATTTTATTGATTTATTCAGACATGTTCTAAAATAAAGATAAATTAATATGAATTTTTTCCTAATTTTTGTTAAAATCACGCCAAACTCTTATATATAAAATATTAGTGCGAATACAGTATATATTAGATGGCAAAAAAAAACACAGTATGCATCAATATATTGATTTTCTTGTGTATATTGACTTTATTACAAGAAATTAGTGTTCGTTGCAGATCATTTTTGTTTTACTAATCTTTATATTAATGGAATATTATTATTATCCGTATAAATGCAATTGTAAGGTGCTTCAAATTCCGCTTTGGAATTTCTTGTCGTTGTACAATCACAAAGCAGTGCTCTCTCACAGTTCCTTTTCACAAGATCCCCTCTATATAAGCTCCTCCCTCTTAAACCCTCTCTCTCCTTCTCGCGTTTCTCCTTTCTTCGCGCTCTTTAGTAAGATCCAGAAGCAAAACCCTAGCGAAGAAGGAGCTGAGAAGCCGTGAGAGCTACGCGTGTAAATTCCTCCTCCTCTTCACAACCCGCGATCCATTCTCGGTTTGCTTGGTTAGTTTCTTAAACCCTCCTGATTGTAAATTCCTGAGTTTCTTCCTTATTAGTTTTTCTGGGCATTTCATTTGGAAGTGAGGCTCTCTTTGCGAGAAATGTTAACTTGTTTTTGTCCGACGTGGGATTTTGATGGTGTAGCGGAAACTTCCGTGGAAATTTTTTTACTGTACATCGTGTGGAATTTTAAATTCTCTGGGAGGTGGTGAAGTCCTGGTACGAACCAGGAATTTGTGTTGAAAATGTCTTTTTGTTCGCACCTAGTATTGAGTATGTCTGGGGTACTTATCTGAATCAGGAGTTTGAGCCTTTGAAGCATGACGCGTACTATATCTGAAAGTCGTTGCAAATGAGGCAGAACTTGCTACATTCTTTAGGCTATGTCTGTTTGCTCAATGAACTTTTATCGGAGAATACATTATAGTCTAAGATCATTTGTCTCTTGGTCGTACTATGTTTGGATGATTGTGAAAGCCTCATTATATAGTTTCAAGCTCTTTCTGGCAAAGAGTCTACTGATTAATAGAAGCTCAACAATCCATTATCCCTTATATTAGATTATTATTTTACTGAGCGTTTATTCTGAATTGACATTTAAATTAGTTTTGCACTAGTCTATGCTTTTTTTCCCCCTGTTCTCTTTTAGAGTCTTTTGATTAAAGGCATTTATATTGTTTTTATGTTTTCACAGTAGTTATTTGTTTTGTTTTCAGACATATTTGGTGATGGCATCTTCAGAGCAGCCAGCGCCCGCTCAGAGTCATCCTGCAGCTCATATTGTATGTATATCCTGATGCTGCAGAGTGTAGCATATGTTTATTTGTTAATTTTATGACTGGTTTTATCTGAAAATGCGATATAGGTTGGGAATGCCTTTGTGGAGCAGTACTACCATATGCTGCATGAAAGCCCTGAACTTGTGCACAAGTTTTACCAAGATGTTAGTAAGCTGGGTCGCCCTGAAAAGGATGGTATAATGGGCATTACAACCACAATGCAAGTGAGTTTTTTGTCCCTTTCTTTCTGCCATGCCTATATACCCATAGTCATATCGAATTTATGATATCCATTCTGCTTTACGGTTGATTTTTTTTTTTTTTTTTGGGGAGGGGATTATCTATTAGACTCTTTGGTCACCTGGATTTTATTTTAGCTCGCTTGCTTACTTCAAAGCAAAGTTGAAATTTGCCATCGTAATAAAAACAAGCCAATTTAAAAGGAAGGGGGAATTGATAATGTTGGATGAAAACGTCTAATGACCTGATCTATTAAATTGATGCTATGTTGAAAGAATTTATCATTTTTGTTACTACTGCTTGCTTGCTTTGATGAAGAGAACTGGCAGAATAGAGCTGTGTGGGTCCTAATAGGTGTCCATTTAGGAAACAGATATGAAACTGCTCTAATGGCGCTGAATTGATCTAATATTTTTTAAAGCACCATACCATTATTTGATTGTACAGGCTACCATGTTGAGCCCGATCTTCTCTTTGAGTTAGTTTATTGAAAAGATTTATGATCACCCATCCTTGTCTAGCATTCATGATCTTACCTTTAGGTCTTCCTTTGGAGCTGCACTGGTTTTTGTCTGGTCAGGTTGTTTCTTGACCAGGATAGAAAGTTATAATGCGTCCTGCAATTGATCTGTCTTAAGATTGCCATTGGATTTGGATTAATGTCGACATGGATAGTCTTGTTCCTAGCTTCCTGTATACCATCAAGAATGGTAATGGAAAGTTTGGTTTTTTCTTCCTATTGAGGCTTGTGATCATTTCTGAACCAATGATGTATCTGCCTTGCTACTCATGACATGTGGTTTTCATCACATGTGAGTGAAAGTGGGAAGGCAATCTAACTTGTTCTTGCAAAATCACATTTCCAAAAAGTGTGACTCGGTATTTTGTGAAGCATTACAATATACACAATCTGGGTTTAACTGCGACATTCTTGGATTATTATCTGTTGGGATGGCTCTTTTACTCAGCTTGCATGTGAACATGATTAACTTCAGAGGGAGCTTCATCCGTTGAAAGTTTTTCCAATCTGTGTGGTTAGGGTTGGTGAGACCTTTTTCCAACAAAAGGCACCTGTAACTTGGGCTGCCCAACCATGAGAGGCTGTCCTTTTTGTAATAGTTGGACGGAGGGTTGCCATGGTTTGCCTCTTTATCTTAGGTTAGTACAGTGTCCAATGGAGAAAAATTCCATTCTGATATAATATGCAATTTATGATTTGCATTAATCAAAACTGGAAGACTTGGGGTGAATTTGCTGATCTGGTTGCTGGGGCAACATAGGTGTGGCTGACAAGGACATCTTGTTAGAGCCAATTTGCCAAACTAAGCAATATGTAACAAGGGTGTTGCATTTTGCAATACTCTTGACATCCAAGAAGCATTGGAATGTGTGTAGGCTGCCTATTGTGGTGTTCTTTCAATACTCAGGTTGCAGTACTCTGGTCAAGAGGGACTTCGCCTTTTGTCTAAGATGCACTGGTATTGCTTAGTGAGAAGAGGCTGGCTGAAAAGATCAAAGGTCTGAATCACAATCCTCCCTATTTAGTTATGATGAGATGCTTCCATCATATGAGGTAAATTCAGGCTCTGTCATTATTGTGACCCTAAAAGTGATTTTAAGATCTATCAGCCTAAGTTGCTAATTCTTAGTGACTTCTCTGATTTCTTCTTTTTGTCCTTTTGTTACAATTTATTCTATGAAGTTTATTATATTATTTTATAATTTTTATTATGAATTATCAGTGGAGTCCAATTTATGAAATGATAGAAGGTTAAAACTCATGTCCTTCAACTTATTTCTTTTTATTCCTATGAAGCAGGATATTAATGAGAAAATACTATCGCTGGATGAGTTCATTGCAGAGATCATATCCGTGGACGCACAAGAATCTTATGGTGGGGGAGTTCTTGTCCTTGTCACTGGGTTTATGATTGGAAAGGACTGCAAGAGGCAAAAATTTTCACAATGTTTCTTCCTTGCACCTCAAGAGAAAGGGTACTTTGTCTTGAATGATGTATTCAGATATGTTAATGACAATGAAAACCAGCACTCCATTGATGACGTTGAAGCTCCTGCCACTCCTCCTGATAATGGTATTGTAGTGCCTTTTTTAAATTAAAATTTTATTGACTCGTAGTAGCCCCCTTGTGATTTCATTTTTTGTTTGGCGGCAGATCCTTCTTTGAAGAAGATTCATGTTTCTGAGCAAATAGTACTATCAGCTGAGGATGTCAGTGGAGAGGAGGTATACAATCCTGAAAATGGGCAAGCATCATTTGAAGAAGAAGAAGAAGCTCCTGTACCTGAGGTGGTTGATGAAATTCCTGATGATTCACTAGTGGTCGCTGGTTCTACTTCTATTATTGAAGAAGTGCCTAAGAAGTCATATGCCTCTATTGTCAGTAGCTATTCTGAATTACCTTATGATGTTTCCTGACTCATATTGAGTTATATTCGGGATGGTGCCTTGGAGTTTTTGTTTTATTGGGAATAAAATAGTTATAAATTGCTGGAATGATTTTCATTCCTTTGTTATGATGTATGGTAATTGTTGTTCCTTGTTTCCTTATCTAACAAGCGAATATCTTTCCTTTTAAAGGTCATGAAGGAGAGGGCTGCACCTGCACCATCTCCTGTGGCAACTACTCCTGTGAGATCTGCCCCTAAGAGCCTGGAGCAACATGTGGCTGCTGCACCTCCAGCACCTATTGTGTCTGAAATGAATGGTTCTAGCACAGCTGTTGTTGAACCGGGAAACAGTCAAGAAACTGAAGGTGTGGTGCCCCTTTATCAGAATGTATTCGTTTTCTTCTGAATCAATCTGCCTTTGGTTTTTATTTGTCACTGAGGTGTATTTTCACGGTATTGTTCTTTTTGTAGCTGAGGGTTATTCTATTTTTGTAAAAAGTCTGCCATCACATGCTACGCCTTCTCTTCTGGAGAGCGAGTTCAAGAAGTTTGGTCCTATTAAGCGTGATGGTATCCAAGTTAGAACCCAAAGGGTATGTCAAACATCCACTTTTTGCTTTGTATGATCAATTTATAGTCTATATTTTCTATTTATGGATGAATTGAACAGGGATTTTGCTTTGGCTTTGTGGAGTTTGAAGTGGCTAGTGCTGTGCAAGGTGCACTTGAGGTATTCCTGAGACTCAGCTTTTACATCATTGGGTTGTCTTTTTGTGGAGTGAGCTTGTGGAGGTGGAATCACTATAGCTATTGCTATTCAGATTGTATTCTATTAGTTTCCTTATGCAAAGTTCTCTTCACTCTTTAGACTGTCTATCTCAACAGGATATCCTTCGGATTTCCTTTGCTCTGCTTTTCTTTTTTTGGTTGTGGATTTTTGTAGTTATCAGTTTCCAGTTTCTCTTAAATTTGCATCTATACCTTTTTTTTTTTCCTCTCCCATTTACTTATCTAGTACTATTTTAAGAAGTAAGAATGATAAGTTCTGCGTGCAATTGCCTGATACTAGGCCTAGTAGCTTGTATACACTTGTTATTTCCTGTAAGTTTCAACATGTATCGTTATTCTTGATTGGAATGTCAGGCTTCACCAGTTGTTATCAGTGGGCGCAAAGTCTTTGTTGAGGAAAAGAGATCAACTAATCGAGGCAAGTAGTTAATTTATTTTATTTTTTCAAGTTGAACTTGGTATTATTGGAGGTTAGATTGCCAATGCGCAGTTTATAGACATGCTTGACATGTGAACAAGATTGCTGTTTGGCTTGGGGCGAGGATTAGACTATTTGCATTCTATTACATTTTGCTTCAGGATTTCACCCTATGTAATTTTTGGTCAGATCCAGGCCAAGGTTGTGAAATTGCAATTATAACCATAGCCAGTCTCTTTTTTTTTTTTTTTCCTTGGTATAAGTTCACATTTTCAATAGTTTTAATTCGAGGAAGAAGAGGGAGTGGCTGCAGGGATAGCTTGAAGTTTAGCTCTGAGACACTCAATAGAAGGAGGAGCAGCAGCTGGGAGTGAGAATATTTTGCCTGCTGGAAAGAGGAGGATGAATGCTGGGTGAAGTGCGTGAGGCTGTTGCTCCTATGGCTTGCTGGGGTTGTTGCTTGATTTCATTTAATGAGATGCACACGTGTTTTGAGCTGGGTCTTTCTTAATTTAACAATCTTGGCTGCAATCAGTGCTGAAACAAGCAATAACAAGAAGCCTTATCTCCCTTTGTTAAGTGAAGTCAGCTCCTTAAATTGCATGATGCCATAGTGCTTTACTAACAGCCAACTCTTCAGATATTTATCAACCCATAAATCTTGTTTGATAACACAGTAAAAAGATTTATTTGCTGTCTTTGAACTCGGTAATCTTGGCCCTTAACTCACTTCTTTCCTGAGTTTTCCCCATGTTCAACCGAGTGTGATTGCTTCTGAGATCTGTATGACTATGATCAGTTCTCTCTATGTAAATGTGGATTCTATGAGTTGTCTCGTGCATTGAGAAATAAAGTCTGGACTACATATGTTAAGGGGTATCTTCCCTTTCATATCCTCACCTCCCAACTCACATTTGTCTTGAGGAAAGAATACCAAAGTATTTCTGAAATACTGAGTGCTTCAGGAGGATATCCTGTATCTAATTTGGCTAATAGAGAAATATGTTCCATATGTTTTTTGGCTTCCTTCTGAACAATCTTAGAATGCTGTGTCGTCAATAATAGTTTCCAAGTGATAAGATGGTACCTTCTGGCTTTTGGATTGACATATCTTTTCATGAGTTTGGTTGGATTTGATTTTGCATTTATTCAGCTTCTATTTCTATGACCGGTTTTTTTGGTTGAGTTTTGCCTTTAGCTTTTATAGTTGGTGGTGCATAAAGTGTCAACTATAAAGTTATCTTGTTGGATTCGACTATGAAGCGTCTACTTCTATTCTTGATGGATCTTTTCATCATTGTTTGTTTGGATTTGATTTTTGCATTTATATTCAGCTTCTACTTATATGATTGATTGTTGAGCTCTTGTTTTGCCTTTAGCTTGTATTCTTTATGATGGACTGTAAAGTGTCGACTATAAATTCAACTGTTTGTTGCTGATGTCCAGGAATAACAAGCCACGATTCTCATCCGGAAGGGTGCAGGATACAGAAATGAGGGCGGAAGAGGACGGGGAAACCATGGAAATGGCCGAAATTATGGAAGAGGTGACTTCAATCGGACTGAATCTGGGTACAGGAATGGCAATCGGGGGTATTCCAGCCGTGGAAATAATGGTTTTCAGAGAGTCGATCACGTTGGAAACAATGGTGGCCGTGTGAATCGCACTGGTGGGCTGGCCATTAATTCAATGGCAAAAGTTACATCTGTTCCCGCCTCAGCTTGAGCAGTTTATCTCTGATGAAGGCAAGGATTGAAAAGATTATTTCCATTTTTAAGTACAGTAGTTCCAGTAGAAAGCATTGGGGTAAAAATTGAATTCTTTTTGT